GTGTATAAGAGACAGGGCCAGACGGGTCCCGGCCTCGGCTCCGCACGGAACACTCACGGGCGTGGGCCAAGCTGAGCGCCCAGAGCCTCAGGTAGGACGCCGTGTTGGAGATGCAGCCCAGGCAGTACTCGATGGTGTGGATGGCCTGGTACACCACCGTGTCGCCGAAGTCGAACTGCCGAGAGAAGAGAGGAGAGGGGGGAGCTGGGAGCGCGCGGGCGCGGGGCCCGGCCGGCCCGCAGAGCCCTGCCCGGGCTGTGAGCGGGGCACTGACACCGTCTTCTCCTGGGTTACCATGTCAGCTTTATACACGAAAAACAAATTCTCTAGTCCCGCTAGGTTTTGTAGAACGATAGCTCATTGCTGCCGCTTGAACCTTGGTGTTCCCCCAGTCACGCGTACGAAAGTAAGATATTCCAAATTGAGCCATGGACTTGGCCAGGAAAAGACTGTTCAGCAACAAGGCGGTATTCGTATGAACTCGCCAGTAAACTGTACGTATCGCCACAAAAAAAGGAGACAGTATTCCAAATCGATACCGCCTATGTACCTTTGCTACAGGATCAACAACAGCACCTTGCAAGCTGCGAGCCTGCCCTTTTGGAAAGCACAAATAACGCGTAAAGCAGTCTTGGAAAAGTCACACCTGTGCAGCATTCACTGGCAAAGTCTCTGTGTCTTGGCAATTTTCTGAAGTAATAAAAAGAAGAACTTATAAGGGGGTCTGCCTTGTAGGGCAGTTTCTTATTTTGCAGCTTGGGGAAGTGTTCCCTACATCTTGGATTGAATCCAGGCTTCAGAAACTGCTCGCGTTTAAGTGAACGTGATGTTTTAAGTGACTAATGCTCTAAGCATGCACAGAAAGCTATTTATATGCCTACTTCTCCCCTAGTATATTCAGGGTAATAAATATTTCAAACAATTAAGTTAAATTAGCTGTCAAAAGCCTAATTCTTTCCCCACAGCACGTGAACTGCGAAGTTCTTTAACAGAGCCTGCCCCAGTGAAGCGTGCTGCCTCCCAAGTCAGTCTGCAGTAAATGGAACGTGATAAATACTTAAACGATGACGATTTGCAGCCTTGTGCAATGGCTGGAGAGTTACCGCCATGCTGGGGAGTGGGACAACCAGCAGGACTGCCGTGGCACGGTGTTTGTAGTTTCGCACGTCGCACACTGTTCCCACCCCCCCGGCTCTACACGGACCCGTGCGTAACAGACCTCCAAGCAAAACCACTTCCAGCGCAGTTTACAACAGTGTCGCTGTTGTGAAGCTACTCTGATTTCATGGCATTTATATTTTTTGTAATAAAATTGGTTACTTGATAGTGCTGAAACTTACGATCAACCCTGCACGAGTACCCCTAAGACACCCTTTCCTTGACAGTGGCACTTGGTACAAGGGTGTGTGACCGAGCAGTTTCTCAGAGCAGAGCTTCCCTCTTACAGACACTGGTTAGTTCAGGTGTTCAACTGTACGGAACTGGGCTGCTTTCTCTATCTGCTGACTGGAAACAGCCAGTATCATCTTTAAAATCGCATACAGTTTGGGAAAAAATGTCTTTAAAGGCTTTGTTTCAGTGCAGAATTACCAAAGACACAGCATAATGCAAACGAGACTATTTCTTCAGAAGTTTAAAAGCAAAACTTTTCAGATTCGGGCTTCCAGCTTAACAGCTTTCCAGGTAAACTAAGAGAGCTCTGCAGACAGGGGATGACAAACAAGCTGTAGAGATGAAGTAATTAAAGGCCTGTTAATGGGCATGTATGCGTGAAGAACTAACAATGCCAGTGACACGTGAGTAGGTGGATCTTTTGGGAAACAAGATGTGGTGACGTAACACGTTTGGCTCAGCGTGTGCTGCACACCGATGGGGAATGGTCCAGATACACATGAACGCAAAGCTGGCTGTAGTCTTACCACCTCGTCCTCCGTAGGCTTGAAAACATAAGTTTACATTTAGTGCAGGGTCCCGATCACAGCGTTAATCACGAACACAGTCAGGAATTCCCTCCTCGACACGACAGCGGGGAGCAGTGAGAGCTGGGGCGCGCGCGGAGCGCAGGTGCCGCCGCAGTTGTTCGGAGGCACCAGAAAACGCCCCAACCGCCCCCCGAGAGGCTCCTCTGTCCACTCCAGCAGAGCGAGGCAGAGCCGGCAGCGCAACCCCGGGGCTCAGAGGGAACCCGCAGGCCAGGGCTCGCTGCCAGAAACACAGCCCTCGGGCTCTGGGGGCGCAAGGGGAGCAGCGGGGAGGGCCAGAGCTCCCCCTGCCCCCCCGCACAGCCCAGACGGCTGCTCTGTTTAAGGGGGGCAAATGGAGCCACGTTTCCCCTTCCATGCAAGTCATCCTGCTTTTTCTGGAGTCCTGGGAATGACCAAGGGAGAGTCTGTATGGAAACTGCTATGGAAACACTTCACTGAAAACGCTGCTATTCAAACAGCCTAGAAATCCCCAAACAGAGCCCAAACGGAGCCCGGTCTGCCCCCGGGCGCTCCCTGAGCGAGGGCGGCCGGGCACTCACCTCCTCCCCCTCCTCGGAGTGGGTGGATAACTGGTCGTGTTGAATGATCTCAGCATCCTCCTCAGTTGGTCCATTGCCCACCCGGATCCCACCGAAGTTGTGCGTTCCCTAACGTGCAGAAAGAGAAGGAGCAAAGTGTTGTTTGGGTTTTACTGCAGCAGCACACGGTTCTTATGACTCCACATGCAGCAGCAGCTCACAGAAGGAAACAAAACGTTAAGTATTAAGGCCCAGGTTAAGCCAGCTGTACAATTCTATTTCCCAGCTTGGATGGGAAAGATGCTGATTCCTGCTAGGGCTGGGAAGAAAACGTCTGTCTGAATGAACAACTGGTACATTTCTACACAGCGATCGTAACCCTAAGTAAAATAAAAGGCACATCTCTCGAGAAGACATTTGCTGGCACTGACGTGGAACAGAGCAACGTGTGCCCAGCAGCCCTGGGACAGGCACTGAAACACCAACTCGGCTGGAAACGGGGGAGTCGCACAGGGGGAGCGCGAAGCGGAACGGACACGGACACGGACACACACACACACGTGTGCTCCCAGCAGCCCCACGGCGGAGACCAGACCTTCCCCTACTGGGAAACGCCACCTTGAGCAAGCAGTTCCTTTTATAGCCATTTGCTCCGACACTCCACATCTGACCCTCGGCCGCAGCTCCGCTCCCAACAGAGAATCATCCACAAGCTGCGTGGAGACTCGGGGAGGGCCGGGAGCTCCTCTCCTTTGGCAAGTGCACTCGCTGCAGCGCTAAGATCCGATTTACGGCTGCTTCCCCTCCACAGGGGGATGCAGGCCCCGGGGACCATCTGGCAGCGCCCTCGGGCAGAGCCTCTGCACGTCTGAACACCCTGGACAAGGAGGGCACAGGGTGCAGCCGCCCGGCCCGCGGCTCGGAGCTGTGCAGCCGCACTTCCAGCTCCCTCCGGGGGCTCCCACGACAGAAAACGTTCACAACTGATCCAGGGGACTGTAAAATAACACCTGCGCGTCTGACCCCCCTAGAGAGGCCAACCGAGGCGCTGCCCAGGGAGAGAAAAGCCCCGCGTCCAGCCGTCGCACCCGAGGCACGGCGGGGAGCGGGCTAAACTGGGCAGACTGGGATGAGTGTGCAAACCCCGGGCCCCGTGACTGCCCGTCCCACAGCGCGCGGCTCGGGCGCTCCAGCCCCATGGGCTTTCACTGATGGTTCTTAGAACCCTACTTCTATTTCTGGCTGAACTACAAATGTGCCCAAAAGGCCAGATGTGAATTAAAGATTTTGTTAGGTTTCTAACAACAAATTCGGTAGACATTTGTGCTCTGAAAATAGAGATAAAATGAAAAAAAAATATAATACCTTTAAGACTATGCTTCTATTAGGATTTTCAGCACCTTTGAAACATTACAAGCCTGTTCACATATTTCTAGCCTGTGTGAATCTGCACTTTTGCGGCTTCTCCCTCATGCTCGACTTGTATTTGTTCTCTGTAGATGACCCAATCTAAACACAGCTCCAGAAGCTCTAGTTGTTTGCTTTATACTTTAACCACACCTCACACAGAGACCTTCCCTCACAGCTTCGGGTGCTGAGGTGCACTTCGTGCGCTGGACGGACGATGCACAAACGCCCCGTTCCCATCCCTGACATTTCTGGGAGGCTGCTCACAGGCCAACAGCTGAGAAGTGCCTCAAAGCGCCTTTGACACGTGGAGCGGGCAGTGTGCTTCACGCAGCACGAGAGATTTACGCTGCCTCGTCCCACAGGCAGCACTCACGACTCAAACCAAGCTGCAAGACGCAGCTGGGGATGGGACCGAGCCCCGGAGCTGCTGCAATCCTCGCTGCCCCGAAAGCTCTGGCAGCAAAGGGCTGTCTGTGGGTTTGGACACAAATAAACAGAAAGAGCTGCCACCGAGAGGCTTATTTGTGCACAACCACTTTATAACAGCTTCAAGTCAAAGTGTCTACGAGGGCACAGGTGTCAAAAATCCCCTCGTTACTGGTACGAAGTCGTTGGGAGGCCGTCACATAAACATGGTGTTCGGGAACACACAATGCAAACAGAAATGCTTCACTGAGAAGGATCCTAATCTATCTTAAACAAATATGCAAGAAAAGCAAAAAAAAGGGGAACTTAACCTGGGGGGCTGTGGTAGCAAGGTATTCTTGTGCTGCTCTGCAGGTTCTGATTTCAGCAGACTCCTGCAAAGAAGTGGCTCTGCATTCTGTCACACATAACTATAATCCTTCAGCCTGGTAGCTCTTCCAGAATGTATCAATTCTGATGAACTTTGCTCTTTCCAAGAGAAAGTGTTTTTCACCCTAAAGGTGCAGTTGTCATTCACTTAGGAAATTCAGATACATTCCATGCTCTCTTGGTAATTAGATAGAAAGCCAACTCCCATCTTTAAGTCCATCAGGCGATTTTTAAATCCACTCACTGTTGCAGCCGCTGCTGCCTCTAGTGCCTGCTCGCTCGGGACTGGGCTGACCTGGGCCTCCACGGGCTGCCCTTCCTGATAGTGAATGGAAGAAAAGAAAGGGAGGAGGAAGAAAACAAAAAGAGAAAGGGAGACGAATGGAGGGGACATGGGAGGATGAAAGATGGTCAGAGAAGGGAGAGGGAGTGTCTTTAACTGAACTGATCTTTGACTCGCTTAACATCCTAAAAGCTGTCTGCCATACATGCAGGGAGAATTTTCAAGTATCCTCAGTGCACGTGTGCCAGGTTCCTGCATTTTATATAAAGATACTTTACAGTACAGCTGGAAACCTAGAGAGTACCCCCGAAGACAACCTCGCACATAATGACTGCGTAAGTCTATTTTCGTTCCTTTTAATTGTTAACTTTTTACCATCCAAACTGCTTTAACAAAGGTAGCTGATAAGCCTGCCAGGCAATTAAGCTCACATCTCTTACGCTGTCAGCCTAGCGTAGGCACAGGCGTGCACCCAGCAAGACACTGTTCCTAGACCAGCTGACGAAGCCCAAGCCAGACATTGTTTTTATCATCACCGACACAACGGGTTTTAAAAGCAGGTTTGATACGGATCAGGATCTGAGGAGCAGGCAGGCGATGCTCTGGCTCCAGTAAAACACACCTGCCCTTGTGCCCAGGAACATGCAAAAACGTTTTACGGGTCACGATGCAGCGTGAACCTACGTATCCAAGATCAGGATGGAGACAGAGCTTTTCAACCATAACGAGTTTGGATATCGAAAATGTAAGAGGAGTCACCCACCAAGTGCTTTCTCCTTAAATACTGATGGCGAAGGACCAGGGGTTTAGCTACCAGCATCCAGGGCACACACAGCAACGCCACCACCACAAGGAAACACTGGAGCCCTTGCTGTAAAAGAAACAGGTCTCAGATGGTTTAGTGGCAGCTCGTGCTCAGACAGGCAGACAAAGCCCAGCAGAGCCTCGCGCAGCACCGAGTGACCGAGGTCCTGGCGCCCGCGGCCCCTGCGCTGCGTCCCTCTCTCTGGGAACAGCAGACGTGCTGTGCTCGATGCCGGCCCGCAGCTCCTCGGGCTGCACGCAGCAGGTGATGCTGGTGCTGGGTTAGACTGGGGAAGAGTCTACCAGATTCTGCAGGGAAAGAGAATTTGGCAGATGTCTGGTAGCGCTGGGAGGAGATGGCGTCAGCTGAGCTTAGAGGCACCCAACTGCAGATGCAGGACAACATTCCTCACCCCCTCCCTCTGTGAATCTGGATGCAAATGCTCCGGGGCCGCAGCTGAGCATGGCCAAGACTGACATTAATTCCCAGTACGGGGGTTATTCCTTCCCTCTTCAATGTTACATAGGGTCAGGCTTTGGAAATGATGCCACATTTCCTCTTATCACAGAAAAAAAAAAAAAAATTTATGGTTGACTACAATTACCATTATTACAAGGTCAGCGAAGGACTCTAATATCATGAAGCGTCTGATCTTATTCTAGCAAGAGCACGCACCTGCCCTTTGTAAAGCATCTTGTTACTGGTGTCACCATAGGAGAACAAAAACATGTTGATAAAATGTATTAAAAGGCTTGGCGCATCCTTTGACGTGTGAGCATCATAGGCCGTCCATTTGTAGAAAATGAGAATAACAAGGTACCCAAACAGTGAAGACATGAAAATCATTTCTGGAATAAATCCAAGGTATATGTTCAGTGGCTTCTTAAAATAGCTGCAGGAAGAAAGAGAAGAGTTTCATATGACATTTGGTTAGCATGAGGCGTACACAGAGCAAAACTGTTACAGAGGAGGCGAAGAGTCTCTGGAAGAGGACTGCAGGGGCTCACTCAGCTGGGCTGGGACCCAGAGCGGGGGCCAGGCAGCTCCGCCCGCGTCCCACCCTCCGTCCATGGCGGGGCGAAGCCCCCCAGGCTCCTGCATCCAGAGCTGAGGCACAGCACACCCGGAGGAGCTGCCCTCGCCATCAGAAAAACACAGCAAAGCACTTACACGTGGTTGAGGAGACTCAGGGTGACACCAAAGAGCATGTGGATAATGCCAAGAATCACAGACATTTTCATCTTGAACGAGTTGAGGAAGGCCAGCTTATTGCTGGCAATGTTCCAAATCTGTGAAAAACAAGCCCGAGTCAGCCAAACGCCGACTCAAAGGAAAACAGAGAACGAAAATGTTCCCTCTTAACCATCCAGGAAGTATTGGGCTGCAAGGTTTTGTTGAAGGTTTGTCTGTCACATGGATCTTTCAGGGAAACGAGCAGCCGACCTTCCCTGCTCGGAACTCTGCCCTGCAGCACCCGACCCCACGGCACAGCAGGAACCAAACCGTGCTTGGTTTTATGGCAGGCAAGAGTTACAGTGAAAGGGCACCCTATCCTTGACAGAAAAAAAAAATCATCTATTTAAATGAATAATTACACATAGTTCCGATTTACTGCTCTCCCTCTTTAACGTGGAACACACCTAAGTTCTGTATCAAATGTTCTAAGCAGTTATTGATGTAGGCAGACACAAAACGATGGGATTGTGTGGAAACCTGCATTCCCAAAACTGACTGGAAAAAAGAGATAAATAACTCTTCCCAAGGTAAAAAAAGTAACTTCATACAGCGATTGGCAAGTCTGGATTAAAATGCTGCAGGTTAGAAAGGAGCCTTTAACAGACCTGAGGAAAGTCTCTGCCCTGAATCTGGTGTCTCAACAGGGACCGAACTGATTTTATCCTTCAGGAGGATTTCCTGCACTGCCGGAGCTTGCCAAGGGAACGCCTGGGCCGTGGAAACCTTCCGCAGTGAACGGGAGAGCAGGGGAGGGAGAGCGCTTACCGGGTCGATGCCGAAGGGGTAGGGCCCGCCGAACACCCCTGGGATGGCGGGGTTCAGCTGGAGCAGGGGGGTGCTCTCGAGCAGGGCGTCTCTGTTCGGGTGTAAGCACATCACACAGACCTTAACACAAGCAACACTGCCCTCATCCTGGAAAAACTAACGACACTCCTCCCTTGTGAGGGCAAGGAACATCTCAAATTGAGAGATCTTTAAGGGTCCTGCCTGGTCCTGACTTATCTCGAAAGATTAATAAACCTGTTTCTTGACCTATTACTGGTGCTACAAGGAAGAAAGATGCAGGGGACGGGAATCTTGCTCTGTCTGTGAGGAGAAAGGGGCTGAACTGCATCTCGACAAGTCTTCTGGTAAAAACAAAAAAGCTGTTTTGAATCTCGACAGATACCACATTTATGCCCCTCTTCCAATTCTACTTGAGACTGAGTTCAGGTTTTGTTCTCCTGCACTGGGAGGACAATGGGGAAAGGCCAGTCATCTGCTCATCACCGCCACTGTCTAGTCACCAACATCTACTCACGACCAGTTGCCTTTGGAGAACATCGGCCGGACGCTCCAGGAGGAGCCGAACATGTTCAGGGACTTGGAGAAGCAGTCGTTGTAGATGAGGCCGGTGTAAGTGGAGAACAGTCCCATCAGCAGAATGATGTATCGACCGCTAAAAACCATGTTGAACATCTAGTACAAAAAAAAAAAAAAACCAAAAGGAATAATTTCCTATAAACTTCTAACCGGAAAACCGAAGCAGCTCACTGCTATCAGGACACGGCGTTACTCGGCGCGTGGCCGCGGAGGGGAGGTGGAGGGGCGCTGCCAGGCCAGGGGAGGGCTGGCAGGGAGCCCCACCGCAGCTCCCGGCCTCAGAGGCAAAGCCCAGCCTGACCGGCCACGCACCTCGTTGTCACTCTTCTGCGACAGAATACGACTTTCCCTGAGCACCATCCAGACGGCAATCAGAGTCATCAGGATTCCGTGGCCAAAGTCTCCAAACATCACAGCAAACAGGAAGGGGAAGGTGATGATCGTGTACGGCGCTGCAAGGGGAAAGGGGACACTCCTAGGGCCCGTACCCCAGCAAGCCCAGACTTCCCCCGGTGCAATTTCTGCCCTTTAGCACTATAATTCCCCAGCTCCCCCTTCGCTTCTGCAAGGTGTTCAGTGTCTATTAGAAATTTTCACACAGGACAGACAATACAGAAGAACACCATGACTAGAAAATCGAGATACTGGACTCTTGTAAGTATGAATTTACCTGGATTTATTTCCCGATATGTTCCAATGCCGTAAGCATCAACAATGTTTTGAAAGCCACAAGTAAACTTGTTAGTTTTGTTGTATGTTGGTGGGGTCTGATTGGTTTGCATCCTGTTTAAAATGGATGGGACAGTGGATCCGCTGTGCTCCTGTTTAAAAAAAAAAAAAAGTAATATAGAAAACCCACCCTCAGAGCACTGGATGACAGAGTGAAACCTCCTTCCTCCTCAGCCTTTGGAATACTCCAAGCTCGCGCTCCGCAGGGTGCTTGCACAGCGCGGAACCACTGGAGCAGCTGAGGAAGGCTGCCAAGTTCCCACTGCTCTCCTCTCTGTCAGCGGGAGGAGAAGCACTGGGAAGGACGAACACTGATTAGGGCAGACGAGAAACTTGTGCAAGAGTGGGTTTGGGTTTTTTTAAAACAGCAAATGGAAGAACTTAAGGAAATGCAACCGTACTCCCCGTCTGTCTGAGCGGAGGGCGAGCTTGCTGACACCCTGGCCGGCTCCCCTCAGGAAGTTCCACCTCACAGCCCAGCAGCAGGGCGACAAAGCCCAGCCAGGTTAGCTAAGTGCCCGACACGGGAAAAGGCCTCACCGTGACAGAATTTTCCAGAACTTAAAGCCTTACACAACATATTTGGTACAAAGTTTATCTATGAGCCCTGGCTGCTGCCTGTTAAATGACCTGCCCCCTGTGGTTCAGACAGCCCAAAGGGATGGGTTTCGGAGACTGGCAATTCGGAAAAATCAATTAATCCAGGCTGGGTCTGCCACCAGCAGAGCCTGCTCGGACAGCAGGCAGGGGCAGCGCAGCCGGTACTCACGGTGCCTCTCCTGAGAGCAAACTGGATGGAGTCGAGGTCAGCAACAGGGCACCAGACTTCAGCAATCAAACACTTCTGCGTCACGTCGATATTGCAGAGGTTCAGGGTGTGGTAGATCGCCTTCATCTTCCGCACTTTGATGAACCACACGCGGATATTTTTAGCAGCTGCCTGCAGAACCCTCTGGCGATGATCCTCTGTTTGGTTCAGCACCTTTCACAGAGAGGGAGGATAAAGAGGAGGCAAAATCACTGACCCAAACTCAAAGCAGAGAGAAATCGGGCTGACCAAGGAGACGAGCCGCACCTGCCCGAGGGCGGCAGACGGATGGGTGAGCCCTCTCCCCCATCCCATGCCTGCAATATGGGCTGTTACTCTCCAGATTAATTAGTTCTGCTAAAAGGTTTTAAGGCTTCTTCCCAGGGATACTGTCTGACTACTCCCTCCCTCCAACTCCAGGGTCAGGTATCTCAAACGAGCTGTCCAGAGACCACAGAGAACATTCTTTTCCCCACCCAAGTTAAAAGAGCAGCGCAGAGCTCTCCAAGTGAGGTGTATATTGCCTTAAGAAAACACAAAGGTTGCAATGAAAGATGTTTTTACTGAAGGCAAAAGGAGAAAGTGTTTTCTACTGAGGGTGTTTTCCAACTGGAACATAACGAACTCATGCCAAGTCACATTTCCAGGCTGGAAAGTCTTAGACTCGAGGGAAAGCGAGGACACGGGGCACATGCAATTTTGAACCCTACTAGTTCAGCTGCTTCTGAGTCCTTGTCTACTTCAAAACTGCTGAACAGCTGCACGACCCAGCTCCCAGCTGTATCAAACAAGCAGTCCAAATTCAACCGTTTTTCCCTTTTAGTTTCTGAACCTTTTCTCCTTTTTTTAACTCCGATCCCTGAATTTTTTCTGAATTATAACAAATTGCCTTTCTTCCTTGAAGCAAGCACCGATTATTTCAGAGCTGCCACCCAGTAGATTTGTGTGCTGATCACTTTTTGCCAGTGCTCAGGCTGCTGCACAAGAGATTAGTTGTAAAGCAGAGGGCTCTGCAGGACAGCACAACGCGAAAATGTGAAGACAGGCAGAAAAAAAAGGAACAGCACTGTTATCTCAGCTTGGAAATAAGTTTCACCGTTTTCAAAGTTCTTGCAGACGAAACAGGCAATTATACAAGCACACTTTCAGAGCTGGAAAACACGGTATCTCCTTACACATGCATGCTCCTCTCGGCCCCCTGGTACGCAGTTCAGTCGACGCTGTACTTACATGTACAGAATTAACTGCTCGGCCCTCCAGAAGGATCAAACCACCTCACCAGCCTCAACCTGACAAAGGAAACACCTGAGCAGCTGCCAAACATCCTGCACTGCTGAGCTGCTGTCTCAAGCCCCCAGAGCTGAAAATATGGTGATCTAATAGGGCCAAAAATGCTCCTGTTTTAATAGGATCCAACTATATTATTAAAGAAAAAAAGAAAAAAAGGGCATTGATCCCGGTTATTTTACCATCTGAAGGTCATCAATTCTGGTATTGACACCAGAAGCCATTTCCTTCCGTTCCTGGGGGGTTTCTGGGCATGGGTAGAGGGAGGCACGGAATCTGAAAGACATGCAAGCCACCTTAGTAACAAAGAGGGAAAGAAGATCAATCAGGGAAACAGATGGCTGAGCCTGAACACAGAAATAAAGCAAGAAGCGCCTCAAGAGAAGTATCTGATCAGCAAAGACTGCCAAGCAGAGCTCAGCCTCTAGATCAGGTGGGTACAGAAGTTTGCTTTAGGCCAAAACAGAAGCTGAGTGCTTAGGCAAATGGAAGTGGGAGAAAACCCTCAGCGCCCTGTACTGACAGTGTCTGAAAGGCGTCCCAGAGCCGATCAGCCATCCCAGACCAGGGTGCTGCTATCAGGCCAAGGCAGCTGCTGCCCGAAGCCGCCCCTGGTGGTGTCCCCTGTGAGACTATCGCCCCCCCACACCCCATGGGTCTGTCCGGGAGTCGACACTTCAACTCTCCTGCTTCCAGGCATTCTCCAGCAAAGCAGTCATCTCCTTTGAGCACTACAGGCTGGGGGAGAGGCTACTTTGACTGTAAAATGTTTCAGCTACTTATGGGACGTTTCATTTGCTGTCAAAATATGTCCTGCTACCGTCACTGTGACATAAGGACTCGAAAAATATTGGTATTAAGTCATGCCAATGTGCTTCAAACGTATGAGAGCGCTGCCCAGCTGTGAGGCTTTCCTACCCTTCACATATCTTCTTGACTCTGTTCTTCAGCTGGTCGCCTTGGAAGAAGATGATAAACACAGACTTGTGCACATAATCCCCCTAGAACAGAAGAAAGAGTGCGCTGTAGTAGCTCAGCTACTCACAGCAATCAGCAGCATAGCAAATGACAACAGTTCTGCCTTCCCTTCCCCTGAACCTGCACACGCAGAGCCCGCACCTGCACGTCAGTCAGGAAGGTACCTCACGGCCTCTGAGGGTCAGAGGGGAAGCCACCTCCTCGGCCTGGGGACACAACTGCACTTGTGTTCACCGAAACAAAACGCTCCAGACCGTCTATCACCTATTCTACGTAACAGGACAAACAGGAAAGCCTGGGAAGACCTCCAAAAGAACAGGGGTGCAGTGAAATATTTATCAGCACGTACTGCAGTCAGCTCGCCTACGGACCCAAGCAAAAAGCTGAAGAGTGAATGAAAACAAGGTGGAGTTTAACAACCCCCACTCTCCAGGGAGGCCCACGGCACATTCTCTGCACAGCTGTTTGCATGTTGGCAGCCAGGTCCCCTTTCCTGCGTTTGTTGACAAGTTATTGTTCCACCTTACTTCGGAAATTTTAACATAATATTTCAAGAATAATTACACTAGGTGTAACCTCAATTTAAGGAAGTGTCGCACAATAAGAACAAAGTCTCTCCTAGCAGACAGATAATTCAACAGGTCAACTACCAGCAGTCGGTGGGACAAGAGAACAGCCCTCTCACCGGGCTCCAGCTCCGCGGGCTCTGCTCCGGGGCAGCCCACACCCAGCCTCTCCCCTCACCGCCTAAGAGCAAGAGTCCCCCGAGTTTGGGCACTCTCCGCTGATCTGGGGACACTGAACGTAAAAACAGGCCCGATTGCAACACTTGTGATTTGTATCTGTAATAAAGCCAACAGGTCTCAGGTGGGTGTTTAAATTGTTGATCAGCCAGCTCAGAGCTCGCTGCACAGGCCCGGAGGATGAGCGCTTGCTCAGAGCTGTGAACACGAGCTGCACTTGCAGTCTGGGCCAGAGAAGCAACTATGCCCTGCTGCAGTCCGAATTTTGAGTTGTTTTTCTGCCTTCCCACAGCACTCACCATCCATACTGCTTTAATAAAACGGGAAGACATTTGTCACTCAAGCCTCAGAGACGGCAAGTAGGTGCCGTGGAGGGACACAACTCAAACGTTTGCCTGCACGGAGCTCACTGAGGGATGGGGGCTTAGGTCTTCAGACCCTGGGTCCTCTTACACATCTGAGACTTTGGCTGCTGTAAACGACAGCCCCTTTTACCGTTACAGGGTCCTCCAGGGGGTTTTCGATTTCCGCCTGGCGCAGGAACACGTTCCCCCGGCACACCCGCCACAGCATCCGCTCAAACATGGGGATCCGCTCGCGGTTGATCACACCAGCCACAAACCTGCGAAGGCAAAGGCATAAATGGAGGTTCTGCACCTAAAAACGCGCCGCCCGACCCCCAAAACGCCGATGGCAACGGGAGTTTAGCATCGGATTGAAAGCTACAAGAACCCCGTTTTAAAATCAGTTCTTTAAGCAAAACGGAAGGTCCTCTAAGCAGAGGTAAAACCACAGCAACACCAAGTGCGCTGCAGCACCAGCTGGGTCTCTGAACAGAATGAAATCGTCTACTGAAAAAACCCAAATCACTGGCTAAAGCAGAAACAAATGCCCTTGGAGGTGCAGTTCCCACGCCTGCTCCTCGCCACTTCGCAGCCCCTGGCACAGCACGTGGCGAGGTCACGGCTCCCCCTCGCCGGTTCAAACCCCAACGTCCAGACAAAGCCTCACACACGTGCAACGACAGCCTGGAGGAGCTAATAACGAGGGTTTTCAGTTTTTCCTCCCTGAGCACCACGTGCCCACAGCAGCCACTGCTGTCAGCAAAGCAGCCAGAGCCCAGAACATCTGAAAAAGCAACAGACGTACGAGGAACAAACCAGCCCAGCGTTCTGTGCAGAGAAACGTGTGAAGCCCAACTACGAACGGGGAAGTTAACGTCCACAGGACAAGAGCAGAGACCAACAGCTAGCTTTAGCCCTCCTCCGCCCGCCGTGCCAGTCTGGAAGGTTCTGCAGCCAGGCCGAGACCCCTGCGGGTCCCGCGGGCCGGGGAAAGGGAAGCTCCAACTGCCATTACCCGAGTCGCAGCGGGGCACCTCTTCCCATCTCACTTGGCTCCAGGAGCGAAGAGGATTCCTCCAACAGGTCTGGATCCGCCATCTGCTGATGATGCAATTCAGCCTGAATTCACAAATCAATTAATATCTAATGAAACTAGTTAGTGGCATGCAGGGAATGAGGAACCAGAAGATAGTTTGGGGAGACAAAAAAAGAAAAAAAAAAAAAAGGAAGAACAAACATAAGACAGCAGAAAGAGGAACTAGATGATAGAAAAGACAGCAAGAATCACACAAGGAAGGAGAAAAACAAGAGGAAAAGTGGAATGGCTCAGCAAAGCTTCCATACAAGAGCAGTCTGAAGACTGCTGCCACAGAACAAACGGGCTGTGGGATGTAAAAGTCTGAAGAAAGGCAGAATTCCAAAAAAAGCATCAAGTTTTAAATACAAGTGATGTTCCCAAGAACCATTTTTTCATGGCAGAAAACAGTGACAGGCTTTACTCCCATCCTTCCCTGGACCTTAAACGGGGACAAACGTGCAGGCAGAAGCTGACACCCCTCGCACTGTTGGGGCGTTGTCTGCACGCTAACGAAGACAAAGGACGTTTCTAAGCGGGGTCTGGGCAACGGCACTCGCTCCCGCCGCAGCCGGAGCCTCGCTCTGCGGAACGGGAGGGCGGCGCTGGGCGAGTCCCCCAGCTGGGCCGGGCACCCCAGAGCGCCGGCGCTGCGGGTCCTGCGGGTGCCCGCGCCACGGCAGGCAGCGCCTGGCCCACCGGGATGAGCTGGCACCGGGGCCGTCCTGCCCCCCGCAGGTACATCAGAACCGGAGACAGAACCTGCACGGACTGGATGGTCTTTTTTTTTTTTTTTTTTTTTTTTTACTGGCTTTACAAAGTTCTCCCTTTGGAAGACCACACAATACTTCCAGCTTAAAAACATGCCTTCGCCTTCAACCTTTCCGTTCTCCAGGGTCTCCATCCCCAGTCACTGCACCTATTGCCAGGCACGTAAGAGGCGCCGCCCAGCGCAGTCTGGCCACGTCGCTCGTTTTCTGACCAGCCAGGCACCAAAACAGGAGGCTGGCTTACCCTGTCCTTCCCTGCAACTAACCTGCAGGCTAAAATTCTTGGGAATACAGCTTGTAAGTGCCAGCAGTTCAGCCAGAAGGATGCTCAAATCACACCCCCTTGTGCACCATCTTCACACTTCATTCAATCCCACGTCACAGTTATTTCTACCTCTGCAGCTTACAGAATGAAATGATGAAAATGACAGCCCCTTCGCACAAACAGGGGGTCAAACTCTACCCTCGGTGGAACGCAGGAGATCTTCCCCACAGAGCTACCAAGGGAACCTGCTAAAACACACCTGAAGGTAGAGTTTGGCCCTAGGAGACGTTAAAACACATGCACACATACAGCGCAGCCTTGTAAAAGCAGATCCCGAGTTTAATAACTCGGCCATAGTTTATTTGTGCAATAGTTGCATCATAATTTTAGTGAAAAGCTCCACATTTCACTTGCACGTCAAGTGAAAAGTATTTACCGCGTACAAGAAAAGTCTTTGCAAGGCTGACATCAAGCGCAGCTCAGCTGCTTGCACACACACTTGCTTTAGCTCACAGATGTTACAAAAGTAAGGGAGCCCTTAATTTAGCTTGAAAAGCCAACGGGAAGAATTTCCGATCCTTTCAACCTTCAGGCAACTTGTTGCAACATCAAAAACTGAATAAAAATTTTGCTTCGTAGAGAACACAACCAAAAGAAGAAAGTCGGTAGCCCCAGAACAAAGCATACAGACCAAACATACCAGCGACCACTTGACATCTGGATTTCAGGGTGTTGAAAAACATTAAGTTACAATTTTGAGAGGCTTGTATTGTATTTGTCAGTAATCAAGATACTCTCTGGGATAATTTTTGTGAGGTGCGCCACGTTTTAGCGTACGAAACAAAAAAAAAAAAAAACACAAACCCCAAGGACAGCACATGTCAAAACTTTGGATCCGCCTGCCTTGAGAAGGTAATTCTGATAAACGCTGAACGTGCCCTCCGACCCTCCGCATCCCTCATCCAGGACACCAGAAAACAAAGGCGAGTCCTGATTAGAGCGGCTGAAGTTACCAAACAAAGCAGCTTAGAATAAATTTGGCCTAGACCAGTTTTGCTAAACGAGAGCTTTCTTACACAAGGATTATTTGCATAACAAATCCCTCCGTTCTTGAATCTCGCAACTGCTTTGATTTCTGCTCACACCCTTTCTAGAAAGGGAGCAACATCGGCTCCGGTGCTGGAAGGGTAACTACAGTGGCCTTATAGGATTTAACAGAAATTTTAAAATCGAGAGACTACGTGGAAATGAAAGAGCTGTCCAGCTACAGCGCAGAGAGACAAGGCTCCAGGAAATCTGCTGTAAGAGCTTTCACCAGCAGCAAGTGAAATATCCCCGCTGCCGTGAAGGAGTTCTTACTACATCACGTCATTCAGGATTGGAAAAACCCAGCATCTGCACGGCAGCAATCAGAATGCAGATTTTTAATTATTAAACATTTTTAAATTGCTTACTGTTCACCCAGATCAGCAATCTCAAGGCCTGAAAAAAAGGTTAATTTTCTCTGATCTCGATTAGAGCTCTGCTCTGGATCACTGCACCCAAGGCCATACAATTCAAGCCCCTTCCAGTTCACGAACAGAACAAAAATCGATTTTCACAAGAACTAAAAGGGATTCATTTCACCCTCTAACTGATTAACCCAGGGCCCAGACAGAAATGACAGATGCAAAACAAACAGAAAAAAGCAGATGGTGAGAAGAGTTAGAGGAAGGAGAGACGGGGGACTGCATGCCATTAACCATTACTTTTCCAGTCTTCTTTTACGCTCACACTCTAGGCAAAACTTTCAGAGAAATCTCTCCAGCTCATACTGTTCTTCATAAGCAAAGACAAGAAGACTGAGAAAAGGAGCATAATCATCAACATGGTCTGTTGAAACAAGAAATGGCTGCTTTGGCTAGAACGGTCACATGGGGAACAAGTGACAAACCGTGGCCATCCTCCCTCCCCCGGCGCCCAAACTGGGCAGCAGAGCAAGTGCCAAGCGTGAGGAAATTTGGAGAGTGAGCCATTCCTTGTGCAACTTATTACTATGAACAACACAATCTTAATTACAGGTCATTGAAGTCTTCAAGTGTTGAAGGCACTGCGCAAACAGCAGCATGAAGAACTGAAGCGCTCGCCACTTGGGGACAGGAGCAGAGGCTGCACGAGGCTTGAAATCATCTAAACTCTGCGGCCAGTTCGTTTAAGTCTGATGTGAGCTCCCCACTGGGGGTGACCTGACACAGACTGCTGAGAAAACTGGTTTTGATCTTTAAATTTAGCACGGTCCCGCTCTGCTCGCAGCAGGCAGCTCTCACCTGCAGTTAATGAGCAAGCGCAGAGCGCCAGCTGTGCCCGGCTCTGCTCCCCGCAGCAGGCACCGGCGCCCTAATGCAGCTAAGGAACAGGTTAACGCTGCCTGTCCAAGGAGACACTTGGGAGGGAACATTCAACACTCGAAGACAACGTTTTTTGTCCTGAAACCAACCCCATGACCAATCAGCTGATCGCGCTAGCAGCAGTGTCTATGTCAGCAGTGACTAAGACTTGTGTTGGCACAGAAACAACCCGAACAGGCACCGTCCTGCGCCAAAAAACCCAACACCAAACTGTTAGATAAACGGTCCGAAGCTTGCAGGAGCCCAGCTCTACTTTATCACAGCCTCTGCAAACACCAGAGGCCATATCCGTTAGGAACTCTTTGATCAAATCCTTGGATTAGAGGAAACGGGACATGTACTAAGCGAAACCACGTCCTTGCTGTTCTAAAAACCACAGAGGAGCTCTTTGAGGAAACAGTCCCTAGACTCTGGGCAAGTTAAGCTTTAGAACGGAGGATTATGTCATCTCCCATGCAGGTTTTCTGTCTGGATCATGGGTGACATCCGAGAAGCCAACCTGAGGAGCAGTGACAGAGCCGCCCGTCGCCAGCCCAGCTGGTGCTGGACAAAAGGGTCAAGATTTTACAGGGCAGCTTTGCTCCAGAAAACTTCAGGGTTTGATCAAAGGCTCAATTAAATTAAATAAATAAATAATCTATTACTTCAGTGGACTTTGTATTATGACCCTAATGAGTAATCTCCACATAACATTTCAAAGGCTGAAGAGAAATTAAGCTTGACTGTGGCTCCTCTGCGTAGGGGAGGCACGAGGGTTCACCTGCTTGCGTACCAAAGCAGCTCCCACCCGATGAAGTGCTCCCTGCAGCACCGAATTTTTGGTCTCTCGATCTACTTTAAAAACTACTAGCATCTTAATTATTTTACGCAATTTTTAGACAAACCATTGCTTAACTAAAACAAACCCAAACCAACATCCCAAGAGGTAAATCATGGATAGCCCGGCGTACTGCATGAAAAAAGGAAAATAATTTGAGAAGCTTTCTTAAACAAAGCATAAAAATGACCCTGCTGCCCCAAACAGCAACTAAAAATACATTTGAGTATAAAAATGATCATCTGTTGGAGAAGAACCAGCTCCCCAAGTGTTGACCCGCCCCCGGTATTCTGACCTCATCAAAAAACTGCTGAGTTTTACGCAGTATAAATTTTAATTCCGTCAGCTCCAAGAAGTTTCTCTTCAGAGCTTCCTGGTTTGTGTTGATTTCTTTAAGCTCATTTTCAATTTTCTCAAAGTTTGCCTGCAAGATGTGAAAAGAAGGAAAAAGCAGTTAAAGCAATTCCATGAATAAATGCTGTTAAATCTATTAAAACAAGAAAGCAGGCAGGATGCTTCCCGTCCCCACGCGGTCTCCCTGCGACGACAGACGCGTCTCAGCCCGCTGGGACACACAGACCCAGATCCGTGGCGTTCCGTTCGCACCACTCGGAACTTTTCACGCTCAGCCAGTCTTTTACAGGCTGCACTTACACAGTGGTCTTCAAAGCATTAAAACCCCTCACAAACCTGAACACAGACCCACCATAAACCAGGCGGTTCCAACAGGTTTGGACTCATTTAAATGGGTGAAATGCCTCTGAAGTACTCCCACTTCCAACGGCATGGGGATAAACGCACGAGCAGAACAACACTGTGAGCCACAATCAACCCAACGACCGGCGGCAGAGCTGGCACGTCAAGTGACGCCCGGGGACAAGCGTTAATGCAGCTTTGCCGCTAAATTCTACCAATGGGGCTCCCTGCTCCCGCCCAGGGTCAAACACCGCTTTGAGTCTTAGGGCGCATCGTTACCTCCAAGTCAATCATGTCACGGGGAAAAGGCACCTCTGGGTTTTCGCCAGTGTCCATGATGGGGATATTTGCTTTTTTAATCTCCTTCTCAACAAACCCTGCGGAGACAGGCCTGACGTTAACTGAAAAGACACTTCAACGCCCAAGTGTCACCGTAACCCCCCCGGCCTGACCAAGCCCATGTCGCTTGGCTGGAGCCGCTCTTGGGGCGGGAGGCGAGCGCCCGGGGCAGCAGGACAGAGGGGAGAGGCCCCTCCGTGTCCGCCGCCGCCTGGCGCCCTCAGCCCGCGGGTTCTCTCCGCGGCAGCTCCAGCGTTTGGGGCACCTCACGACCCGAGAGAAACGTACTCAGCTTCCGGTCCATCTCCTCGCACCTCCGGACTTCGTTCACGAATTTGCGCTGGAACACGTTCACGTCCGGGTTCAGCTGCAGAGACAGAGCCGTTTCCTCAGCGAC